TCGCTTTGTTTTTGAGACGACTTTACGATTTAATACGACTTTCATGGTTTTAGAATCCATTTGAAGGATTGCTTTGAATTTGTTAATTTGTCAGAGCTAAAAGATTAGAGGTGGAAAATACAAAAATTTTGCATGATTTTTCTAAAATCAAGAAATGTAAATGGAATATGGAATTCTATACATTTTGATGTAACCATTGTTAAATGACCACTCTGACCATTTACTTCTCGGTTAATAAATTTCATTGTTTTTCGAATGTTTAATGATCAATGACCAATGTTTTTGCCTGAGGCAGTGTTTGCATATGTAAATGAATTCTTTTTACATCTGTATTCATCAGTCAACAATTTGTCATTTTTTCATTGTTCACTGCCACTTCACTTTTCAGTCTTACAAAAATATTTTATGAAATTTTTAGTAAATTTTTATAATAATTATTGATAATTATTTGTTCAGCCAAACTGAACAAAGCCAATAATAAAAATTCTTTCAACATGTGCCTTATTTCTTTATAATTAGATTAACGAGTTGAAAATATTTAATCAACCATCATTTATTCGAAAAATCAGACGTAGCCTCAAACTGCGAAATGCCAAATTACAGTTCAAAGTTATTCCATAAAGTAGCTTTAGAAAAAATCATCGAATCCGTTAAATTTTCCTCCCCCCCCCCCCCCCTCCCCACTCCTTGTATTTCTCTATACTTTTCGCATTTTATAGTTTTTTTCTAAAAACTATTCTTTTTACAATTACTATTTTACCATACTTTTTATTTTTTTCTTTTCATATTTTTAATTTGTTTTACCAGCTTTCTGTTGATCCATATATTTGTTTACCGTAATTTTATGTGGATTCATCTGCACAGCCAAATTATGATAGTGTATAACTGTTGAAAAATATTCTCGCGACAGGATTATTAGAAACACAGAACGACCTGATTTGGCTGAATAATCGCATCGAGCAGCGAACTCTTTCAAAAATTTTCCATGTAAAAATTTTTTCTCCCTTATGTTTCTCAAGCAATTTTTTCCCACAAACGCCTAAATTCATTATTTATTTTCTGAGCGCTGATCTAAAATAAATTTTATTTTTCAGATACTTTCCATTTTATATAAAATTTTTCATTAATCGCCAAATCCTTCCACTATCGCTAAAAATTGCTAAGAATGCTTTAAATAGCCTAAAGTAATTGTGGTTTCACAAGTTTACTAAGGCCAGACGATTTTTGGCCTGAGGCTTCTTGGTACTAGTCTGATAATACAATCCGAGAAAAATCATTAAATTTTCAATGAACGCGAATAATAACATAACTTAATAAAATTAGTAAAAAATCAAAATGCTTACATTGTCCGGTAAGTCTTATCGTTGCTTTTGTTTTCGAAATGATTGTGGCCACTGAATTTTCGAAGATTTATATTTGATGTTACATTTTATGGTTACGAGGTAATATATATGAGTTTTATGTTCTTTTAAAAGAACGAGTAAAATTTCTCTAAAAATTAAATTTAGCATTCAATAAGCATTCAATTTCTTTAAATCCATCTTATTTTTTTAATACCATGCACCATTCGTTTTTTTGGTTGGTACCATTGGTGACTACCGCACAACTCTTAATCAGGTGAATCCACGGATAAAGGCATGTTTCAATGAAAACCTTATCCCTACCAAAAGAATGCACTCAATTCTATGATATTTGCAATCAAGTGAAGCAAAATGATTCAATTGTATTTCAAAATATGTTATACTTACAAAAAACGAAAAATGTAAATAAATAATATTAATAGATAATATTAATAATATTAATAAATAATATTAATAATATATATTAATATTAATAATATTAAAAAGGATAGCGAATTCGGCCAGTAGAAATACAGGAAGCATAAGCTTTCATGAAGTGGAAAAGTTATGCATTGGCCAGTTCTTATATTTCTATTAATAATTTAATCTTTCTTCTCATGGAATTGTCCATCTAAAGTAATTTTTTTTAAAAACTAATGATAAAAAACTTGATGATAAAAACTAAGTTGTCAGTTAATTTCATTTATTTATCGCTTATTTGAAAATTTTTTATGTATGTATGAATATTTATTATACAAATATTTCCCTTATTTATTATATAAAATTTTTATTTATGAATTTATGAAAAATATTTTAGTTTAAATTTTTTGAAATGTTTGCTAATTTTTTTTTTGAGAATAATTTTATTTTTTAATATTCCACCACTTCTGTTTAGCCTACGCGTTTGACTTGCTTTAGGCTAATTTTGGTCAGTTGGTGATGAATGATCTAAGTCACCAGAATCACCCGGACTTTTAAAGTATAGCAAAGGAGGATCCTGAAGAGAATAGCACCTCGGTATGGCACTTTGAAATGATAACAATCTACTGAGCCATTTTAAACGTAGTAAATTCAATTAAGATGATATACAACCTATAGATAAATCCACAACTGAGAATGGACCAAGCGACGCTTCAAGCACCATTGAAATCAAAACTTCAGTTTGTCAGTTCGGTTTGTTTGTTTTCATTGTTTTTCATTTTCATCGGCAAATCCATTTCACCTGGATTCTTTGCCATTCTTTAGAGATATTTCAGCAAAAATTTTCCGAGAGCAATGAATACTTCGAAATATTCCACAAATATTCCAATTGAGATGTTAGCTCTGACAAGAGACAATCTATCATTAAAAAATCTTTATGCTCAATTGCGCTTTTATCGCCAAATGACACCAAAGCGAATTAGTATTAACTAGAAAAGCAAACCGAAGCAAATCGAACCAGAAATAATGAACGCTGACTGCTTATCATTATTATCATTACTCTCATGGCTATAATCAGTCAATCATTACTATCATTCTTATTATATGAAGTGGGAATGAGCCTTCTAAAGGTTAATACGAGCAGTGCTTTAGATTTACTCCTACTTTTATCCTAGACGATGGAAAAAGGAATGGCTTCTATTACTGTCAACATCAGATTGAGTAACTTGGAAGCGTCTTACCCTTGTAGCCGTTGGAGACAGCCTAACCAGTAATGATGAGAGCTGTTAGAAGAAGAAGATATAACTCTTTTAGAAAAGTGTATAGTCGGTCAGTGTGGCCAGCAAAAACTAGAAATGGATGGGCATGTTTTAAAAGAATTTAAATCAACTCATCCAATTACTGCAAATTTCATAAATATGGACCATTTTCAAAAAAAGAGTACCATTGAAAATAATCGCCGAAATTATTTGATTCATCACCAGATAAATAGAGAAAAAGACATTTGAAAAATCATATCAGTAATGGAAAAGAGAAAACAACGATTAAGACGATTTTTCTAACTGATAAAAGGATCTGAAATCGATCGCTGTTAGCTTATCACTAATTATATGGAGAAAATGGGACTGCGTCTAATGCGATTTTGGACCTAGTGAAAATACGCGCCTCTAAACTCGGGCGCTCCATGATTTACTGGATTATTATTATTATTATTATCATTATCACTATCATCCTGATTTATTGGATTACCATTATTATTACTACCATTATCACTATCAACGGATCATCGATTCGCAAAATTCCTACTTTACTAAAATGCGGTCTTCGCCCACTGACAGCGGATATCATCCTCTAAATCTTAGATAATCCACTAGCGAGGAAAATAATTGATGGTCCATGGAAAATTGGCAGGCAACCCTTATCCCTCATAAATGCCTTTGTAGGTTCCAAGTAATTTTAAAAGATTGAAATATTTTACAGCCTCAGCCTTGGAAATATATAAACATACAATCAACAGATAATAAGAGGATGGAAAAAATACGCCGGAATTTTGCAAAATTAGATTAATTATTATAAACAGCTGGTCTTCAAACAAACTTAAGCAATAACTTTCAAAAGCCAAAAGCTTTCGAGAAGGAGAGGAGCAACAGAAGGAGCAACAGAAGGAACAGCAGAAGGAGCAACAGAAGGAATAGCAGAAGGAGCAACAGAAGGAGCTTCAGCACGAGCCTAAGGCAGCCATAAATGTAAAAAATGAACAGAAAATAAGGAAATTTAACTAAAAAGTACAATCCTAAAAAAATAACTGACATCCTCGGCATTATTTTTATACTTTACTTTATTTAATATTTCTTGTATCTTCTAATATAATACGATTTTTTGCTTGGGAGTCGGCCGCTTATTTATTGCACTTTTTATGGAAATCGCAAATGGCAGCTATTAGGACAATTCGCCTTTCCACTGGCACTGCTAAAAAACGATTTTAAATTTGTTCAAAGCATTCGATGGTTGCTTTTTTACGAAGAACTATTTATTCATTGTTACTTTGCTGCAGGTGTTCTTTTGCTTCCAAATTTCTCTGCCATTTCCCGTTAATTCCCAAATTGATTCACAACAATCCTATATGAATATAAAATATTATAAAAAAAAGGCAATGAAAAATTATTGAATGATTCCTGCAGCTGCAAAAATATGCAATTGTTAGAAAAACGTTCGTAAAAGGTTTCATTTAAGGTATATTCTCTCCAAATTTTCTAATCGTCTATACAATAATGTTTATTTCATCCGTTTAGGTCTAATTCACTTTAAAATTCACTTAAAAATTCATTAGAAAAGAAGATTTCATTTTTTTAATATTTCGAAAATCTTTATGCAATTTTCAACGAAAATATTTATTAAATATTAATATTTATTTATTTATTAATATTTATATTATTAATATTAATTTATTATTAATATTTATTATTAATATTAATATTTTATATTTTTTTAAAAATAAAATATTTATATTTAAAATAAATATAATATAAATATATATATATTTTATATATATAAAAATAAATATTTCTACAATGCTTTGTTTGCGAGTTTTAATTTGATTACAGTAATTTGAAGAAAAAATGATTTTCACCTCTTCTAAATTTCCTTTTTGTTTGCTCTAAATGGTCCTTTAGGAGGGAAAATGTTTTTCCATATAAATTTATGAAATATGCGATTGTTCGTCATTGTTAATCTTGAATCATGCTTTTCGTGTGGCTCATTCTGTTTCATTTATTCGATTTCAGTTGTTCTGATTATGAAGCAATCGACGATTGTTTTAAAGAAGTTGCTAATATGGGTGGCGAGAATAAAAAACATCCAAGTATAGACCCAAATTATTGCGACGATACGAGCTCCGCGTTGTGTAATGCCTTATTTGGAAAAGATGCAAATACCTACGCTAATAATCTTAATCCGTATGCCTTTCTAGAATATTTTTTTAATTGGAGAGGAAAAGGCTGTGATTTTGGTCATTTAAGATTTTTCGATGATTTGCGAGCATTTGCGCTACTTTAGTCCAATAATCTACGCAATTTTTCTTGCAATTACTCCTCAATATCTTCCAACCAAATATTAAAATTAGCCTAAAGCATTACCCTTAAATACGTCCAGCCAATAGGTTAGGTTAACCCACTCACTTTGTTTATTTCAGCGAGGAAGATTACAAAGTAAACAAAAATTGCAAGGAAATTCAATATAAAACGCTGAGTGTAACTCAATGTGCAAGTTCGTGTGCGAAATGCTGTTTAACTAAACAATTCAACTGCCAGAACGGTTACTCAAATTTATAAATGCTTTAATTTTAAAAATAGTTATTTAAAAAAATGATAATAAATTTTCCGATTTTATTTTCAGTTTTGAATTTATTGGAATTAAATTTAATTTTGCTGAATCGTCCATAACAAATATTAAAAAATTTTCCTATTCCTATTGCATTGTTTGGAATATTATTAATCAATTAATCAAATGCTAATTGATAATCCCACGCAAATTTGAGATATTTAAAACTCCACATGTTTGAGTATAGTAAACAACTAAACTTCACCAAAACTTGTGTCTTTTTTTAATAATGTTCAATAATATTTGAATAATTCAGATGCAGCAAGCAGTGAGGCATGTCAACAATTGAATTTCGCGAGGGAGTGCAAAAATCCGACTTTTATCCGATACTTCTTGCAAGATGTCCAGCAACATGTGGCTTATGCGATCAACCAGGTGCTCTAGGAGAATGCCCTGATAGAAGTGATATTTGCCCTACTATAACTGCCTTGGATCCCAGCGTGTGCAACAGGAATAATGTGGCTAATATGTGCATGAAAAGTTGCAATTTAAAAACTTGTTTGTCAGGTTAATGCGAATTGAAAGAATCAATTTTAACAGCGGGATTATCAGATAGTTTTTAGTCGATTTTTTATTTAAATGATTGAACAATTAATTCTTAAATCTTTCAATTGAAAACTGATAAAAATTTGTGATAATTTTTGGATGTTCGTAATCAACATTCGATTTTAGGTTCAACAACCGCATCGACCTGCGAAGATAAGCGGCTAAATTGTAACTCTTATCAACCATTTTGCACTAACCCAAGATACGGCGATTTTCTAAGACGAGAATGCTGCCGCACTTGTTAGTTTCCTTATCAAATAATTTTAGTAAAAATGTTTTAGCATCGAGATTTTCAACCAGTTTCTTTTCGAGCTGATTTTTACGACTATTTTTAAATGAAATTTCCATTTTCATTCATGAATATTCGACTTTAGGTTCAACGACTGCACTGGCTTGTATTGATAGCAGAGTCAACTGTCTATCTTATAAACCCTTCTGCAATAATCCACGATATGCAGACGTTCTAAGAAGACAATGTTGCCATACTTGCACTGTTCTTAGCAAATAATTTTTATTATTTGAAGCACCTAACTGGATATTTTCCTATTATTTTTTTATTTTTTATAATTACTTTTGAATAATTTTTGGTTAATTTCAATAGAATTTGGTGAGTGTACTACATATTATTCATATTTCGTGGTCAGTTCAATTCTTCTCATTTATATGCGAAAAACTACTTTTATACATCTAATTTTTAAACGGTAGATATGACTTCGAAGTCTTTACGTTTTTTAATATATTCTATCGATTAGAATTGGCTCGGTCCAATGATTAATATAGGAAATAGTCAGGATTTTCAATAATTTTTTCATAAAAATTATTGAAAATACAATGATTATGATAATGATTACAATACAATGATTACAATGATTATAATGATTATGAGGCATTAAGATAAAAAAAATTTTGAATGACTGCTAAAGGTGCAAAAATATGAAATTTTCAATAAAAACTTGGATTCATTTAATGTAAAAGTATGAGAAATCATCAAATGCACCTTTTTCAAACCTTCTTTCATTCATTTAAACGATAATAGTGCCTCCCCTTTTGGTTATCTGTATTTAGTCCTTATTATACTCTTATAAGCCGTTATAAGGCTTCTAAGCCATTCACATCATTCAACCGCCATCTCACTCAAACTTTTAATATCGCATCTTCTTGTAAAGATCGCTTGGTAGAATTGGGAAAGGATTCTAAAAATTAGAAAGCACTATTCGATGAGATTCTAGAGAATTACGAGATTCAGCTGGATTATACGAGTGAGACTTATCAAGGTGAAATTCTCGACAGGATTTTAATCAGTTTACAAATGCTTTTCATTGAAATGATTTAATACATCTTTTATCAAGTTTTTTTCGATAGAAAATTGATGAAAGTTTATGATAATCGCTGGTCATAATCTCTGCTTCGCATGGAATGTACAATCGTAGTTCCAACGATCTCGTCAACTACCGTGTTGATAAGAGATCAAACTGCAAATATTATCAGCATATGCAGATTTTCAATTGCACTTGTTCCCTTCGTTACCTTAATTTTCAAATATTTTTCACTACTAATAATTTAATATTACTATGATGAATTCTTTTCTGACTACAAATATTCATCATAAAAATATTCAACTTCATAAAAAAGCCTTTTCTCAATAATCACAAAATGATTCTCGAATTTACTTTCTAAATTTTTTCTTTCTTTGTTTATTATTTAGTTTTTTGACAAACAAATCGTTAATAAACAATTTGAACTTGCAATAATATTACTATATTATTATATTATACTATACTATTTACCGGTCAGAAAAACACTCATTTTTTCCATGAATTCTCCCTTAATCCGCGATTTTTATTTATTGTTTTTACTCTCGAAATAGCGCTGAAATGAAAAAAAATAAAAGAGCTATTCAAAATAAAATCTTAAGTACACCAAGAAAAAGTTTTATATAAGTCGTTAAAAACTAATTTCAATTGGCAATAACAGAGGCAATAATCGAATTTATAAGTTTAAATTTCTGCCTTTCAAGCAATCGAATTATTAAAAAGCAATAAAAATACCTTAAACAATTGGCGGTAAAAAAATGGAATTGGCCATCCAATGAATAAAAATAAAAAGCAGAAAAAATTATAAAAAAATTCAAGTGAAATTATTTAATGCACTTTTTCATCTGTCAATTGTTTTTATTTAAAAGAAATTATTAGTTGATAACTGATAAAATTTCGAAGAAATTTATTTCTATATTTCCAAACTCATTTATTTCTTCTATTAATTATCAAAAATGGAAATAAAAATAAGGATTAGAATATAAGAATATATATATATATATAAAGTTGCGCAAAGTAGGAATGGTCAATACTTAAGATTGCTTTTTTGTCCACACCTGTCTTGTTCTGATCCATTTTTATTCTCGAATGTGGCTAGTCAAATTGTAGAAAATTTTCAAAAATACTAATGCAATCTGCCTAGCTCAGGCAAATTTCCCAAGTGCTTTTAGTGATAAACCAATGAATATACCAATATACCATAGAAGGTGAGTCGCCAGCATTACCTGGATCCTTGGGCAGGTTTACTTCCGCGGGTGATAGAATCTCAGCATCACCGTTCCGAATTTATCATTTAATATTTAGTCAATGTTTATTATTAGCAACGACCCACTGAACTCCTATCCTATACGAAAATAAGTAAATCTCCTACAAACTTTTATTATTAATATTAAATATTAACTGAATATTAAAATAATGCAATAAAATTTCAGAAACTGAAAGCAGCAGTGATAAAAAATTTCGTTTATTTATATTTCCATAGCTAACGCTTTAAAGCCGAACATTTTAAGGAAAAGAAAATTATATAAACATTTACCAAAATATTTTAATTCATTTATCAACAATTATTTAATAATTTTAGTAATTTCTTAATTCCCATTCCTTGAAGGCACATTTAAATAATTAAGTGATTCTGAAATCTTCTGCCCATAGCTAACGGCAAAATTAATTTTTACAGGTTTTTTTCTCAGCAATATTTTAATTTAATAATAAAAATTTTATTATTAAAATTCAGAAATCAATTTTTGAATGAATTTTTTATCGATTTATGAACGCCAAAATTTTTTATAATTCTGTTTTTAAAATGTTTTAAATGTTTGAAACAATAAATTTTAGTGATTTATAATTTATAATCACTTTAAAATTGGTTAGAATATTGTGCATATACAAATATACAAATAGCAAATAGAGAGAAATTGAATGAACCTTCCAAATATTTCCTGAAATTAAATTTTATATAAAATCCTATTTCGATTTCATAATGAAAATTTTAATAAGTACTTGAAAAATTTATTAAAAATTTGGATAAAATTAACACATTAGTGTATTAGTGTTGTTGTCAAATGATAGGTTAATGTAAAGGAAATTAGATCTCATCTATTCTGTTTAGGCTATATTAATTGTAAATAAGAAAAAGATTTTTATTGTTATTTTTATTATTATTTATTATAATTATTATAATTAAGAAGATTTTTCCAAAGGATCAATTGGCGATAAAAGTGGTAGCAGATGGGTTCGCCCCTCTCGACGGATTTTGAGGTACTTATCTCGGTTACAGAATAAATTGTATGTTTGGGATTTCAATTTTTATTATCATTATTATTAATGTAGCCCGGATTGCATATTTATCACATGTACCACCGGTTCAGAAGTAGCATACTGGTCGGAAGGCGCGAACGTCGCGTCAAGGAAATCTTACCCTTTGACCATAGTGTCACTTGGAGATAGAAATAAAGGTATGACTGCAGCAACCATTCGGACTTGACATTATAACAAGTTTACTCCTGTCAAAAGCAAAAAATAGAGATAATTACAATAAATTTTAAGGGAGAAATTCAAAGATAAATAAAAAAGTTTTAAGAAGAAAAAAAAAAGAAGAAAAATAAAATTTATCTGTCCCGTGCATAACAAATAATGAATAATAATTTACCAGATAGCAATATTTATAAAATAATAATATAGTAATAGCAATAATATTATAATATTTATAAATGAACAGAGCACTTTTGGGGCACAACCGCTCATGTAGCACAGAGGTCCATAACGGTAGATAAATTAAATTATTCAGTTATAAATTTATTATAAAGACAAAAGACGAAAGTTTCATTTCTCTTACTATTTTTTCTTCGTTATTAAAGAAATTATTGAATTTCTTTTTGTCAAAATAATTTCCGAAAAATGCAAATGTCCAAGTCAAAGAAAAAGTATTACAAAAAGTAAAAGTAAGAAAAAGTGTAACGTTTCAAATAAATTTTTTTATTTCAATTACTATTATAAAGAAACAAAAAAATTTGAGAAAATTGAAATAAAGTTTAAGGAATTTTGGGGAATAATGATGGAATTCCCGTGCTTGTTAAGGCTTTTAATCTCAAATGACTCTATGGCACATACGAGCCTTATACGAGTTATTAATAGAGCCATCCGAGCCAAAAACGAAACATGCATTAGAAAAAAAAGGAAATATGCCTGCTTCGCATGAAATATCGTAGACTTCTGCTTTAAAACTCCGTGAAAATTTCATTTTTTTACAAAAATATTCCAAGATAAAAGGTAATTTTCATAATTTATAATTTATTACAATTTGAATCACATTGCAATTAAATATAAATTTCCATATGTATTTTTTAAGAATATGAGGTTAACACTTTTGAACGATTCTGCCATCACTGGCGAAAGAATTATTATTCATAAAAACATTATTATTATTAAAAGGGGGAAATGAATTTATTCCATTGCGTTCGGTGCCAATGTCTCGAAAATAACGATAGCATTTAAGCACAACATTAAACCACCAAATATACAATAGTATACTCACCGATAATACCACTATTACAGCCACAAGTACCATTCGGAGAACTGAAATTCAATTATATTTTGCATTTAAATTGCTCAGTTAGCAATGATTCTGCCATTCAGCCTTTTCCTATTGAATT